GGGTATGGATGCACTCTCCAGCATCGAGTCCCACATCATCACTGTGTCGAACACTGTGGTATGCGAAAGCGCATTTCCTCCTCGATCTGTGGGCGCACGACCAACTTCGGTTGTCGTAAAACGCACACCGAAAAAAAAAATGTGCCCGCACCCACGACGTTGGACCAATACCTGCTGCTGATTCGGACCATGCCCCCTCTGCTCGCTGCTGTACACAAACGATGAGCTCTTTGCCCTCAATACGAAGAAAGGCGCGTCTGAAGGATCAGACATTCTTGTTTTTGCGCGCCTTCCAGAGCAGCTGCGGCGCATCAAGACTGTGCTGCAAACTTGGGAAAGTGTGGACGCCAGAGTCGCAACGGTTTGCGGCCCTACCTCCGCCGCCAACGCTGCTGCCTGCGTCGGTACTATGCCAACGGACGGGCTGGTTGGGTTTTTGTCGGACGGTGGCGACGATACCCACTGGAATGACGAGTACCTTGGGGTGGGCGCCACGGTGTCGGAAGGAGCAAAGAAGGTTGCCAATGGCTTTGCTCTAGCAGGGCGTGGTGCGCAGAGATTGCGTGGCCGGTGGGCAGAGACGGGCGTGGCCAAGGGCACAGTTCTGTGGGCGAAGAGGTGACTCTTGTGGCAACGGTGACCATCAACGAAGCGCCACAGAGTGCCACCCCACTGCTGGGCATGAGGACATTGTTCACTGGGTCGTATCTGGGGCTGTGGTACGACGAGCACAAGCAATGGAGGACTAAGTTCGGGGCAGAAGGAGGGAACGCACAAACACTGGTGTGGAAGGAGGGGAGGGCATACCGAGTGGTGCTCACGGTGAAGAAGGGCAGCGGCTCGGCGTACGTCGACGGACAGCTTGTGGGGAGTTTGGAGGAGAAACCTCCATCTACTGGTGCGTTTCCTCCGCCTCTGCCTCCGCCTCCTCTTGAGCAATTTCCGCGTGGGAGGCCGCCGGAGAGGGTCTCGCAAATCTTCGTGGGGAAATACAGGGGCAGCGAGGAAAACGCAGAGGTCCACGTGACGGTGACGAACGTCTTGCTGTACAACCGCTGCTTCAACTCCAGTGATGTTGCGGCGCTGGAGGGGAAGGAGGAGGCCATCGTGACGCCGCCGGAACCGGAGGAGCAACCGCCTCGCGCCGCCGCATCCGCCGCCAGTGGCCCGACGGCCTCTGCGCACGGCGGGGCTGCAGCAACTGGCATCGTGGCCGAGGAGCCGTCAGGGGCAGCCGGCACTGGCCCCGCGACGACCAGCGCGGCTGAGAGTACGGCGGGGGATGCGTCGGCACCGCGCGTTCCTCCGGCGCCGGACTTAAACAACGCCTCCGTCTCGCCCGCAAAAGAGGCTGCGGGCACAGTGCAGAGGGAGGCCGGCGGCGGAGACAGTTCCGTGCGTGGGCGTCTGTCTGCGGTGTCGCTGCCGCTGCCGCTGCCGCTTCTGCTGGGGCTGTGGGGGTGTGTCTCGTTCCTCTGAGCCGGAGACCACGGCAGCGAGGAAGGAGACGGTGCGACCCGAGCTGGAAGGCGTGCAGAGTTTGTTTGACGTTCGTTGATTGTTCTCTTCAGTGCAGCCCCTTTTTTCTTTTATTTTTCTGTGTGGAATCTTTTTGCTTTCTTTTCTTGCTTACACTCTCGCTGTGGAGGGTGGGCGAGAGCTCCCCGCATGGATGTTGGCGTCTCTGCCCAGGGCACGCAGGTGGGGGACTCCGCGCCGCGGCGATGGGGCGGGCGGGGTATGATGCGTGGCCCGCGAAGGAGACACCACGCACGCTGAAGGGCCCTTGAAGTATAAATGCCCGGTGCGAACGTGAGGAGGAGTGCAACGAAGTGAAATGTTCGCCGCGTTTGCTTTTGTCGCGTGCAGAAAATACACGCGCAGTTTTTGCGAAGCCACGCGACAGCTCGCTGCCCCTTTTTTTTGGGAGGAAACATTATGGAGGAAAGTAATTCTTCGTTTAGGGTTTGGGGGGATTTATACATAATGCAGGACAATTTCTTTCTTTTTTCTTCTTTGCTTTTCGTCATATTTTTCGTGGCTGGCGGCCGCTTGGGCTGCGGTTCCGTCTCCAGCCTCCTTTTGTTTCATTTCCGTCCTGGGCCTCTGCCGTGCGTGTGTTTGTGTGCCGCCACACGCTTCTCTCTTCGCCGTCTTTGCATTGCGTGTCTGCAGGCACACCCACACATACACGCACAACCGACGCGCACGCGATGCGCCTGTAGTGCCGTGCACGTGGATGGCGTCTTCGCAGTCTGCGCTGGCAGTGCCGCGTGCAGCTGCGGCTGCGTGTTCTCCTGTCACGTGCACTTGGTGGGCTGCCTTGTCTTTTGCTTTCTCCTCTATCCCCTCACTCTGTGTGCCGTTCTCCAACTATTTCCCCATTTTTTTTGTCTCTTCTCCTCCTCCTTCCTGCTGCCCCGCAGCCCACGGACCCCAGCGGCTTTACTGCTGCTACTACCACTACTGCTGCGCCTACTACTGGAACGGATGACGCTGACGCTGACGCTGACGCTGCGGCGCCGTGCGGTGTGCGCCCTGGCGCTCCTCGCGCTGCTCTGCGGCTGCTGCTGCGCCTCCGTCTGCGGGGCGACGAATGCGGCGGCTGCGGCTAATGTGAATGTGTTGTTGGAGGTGTCGTGCCCGGCCAACAAAAGCAAGTTGCGTTGGCGTCTTGCCGGCGACTCCAGCTGGACGCAGTGCACAGCCTCCCTGGTATCGGCTAATGTTGTGGCTGCGACTGACGCTGAAATGAGTGCTGCTGCTGAGGTGAGTGCCAGTGAAGCCGGCAGCATCTGCCTCATTGCCGAATCGACCTTCATCTTGACCGGGTGCGACACGCGCTGCGAAGGACGCACAACGCAGGGCGATGGCGCGCCGGACGATGCTGCGCTCAAGATGCTTTTCGGGACCGAGGAAAACGGCGCGCTCCACAGAAAGTGGAAGACAGCGTCGTCCTCCACTGGCGCCGCGACCCTTCCTACAGTGGTGGACGGCCAGAATGGTGCTCAGGGCGTTTGTACTCTACCGCCCGCCAGTGCAAGGACAAATGGGGAAGGTTCGTCTGGTCCACGGGCCCAAGAAGTGCCAGCTGCAGGACGGACACAGCAGCCACACACGATTGACGGTGCGGGCCCGGCAATAGTCCCAGCAGGAGCCCAACCGAAGGGGACTGGAGAGGCACAGACACCCCCAACTTTTGCAGGGGGGCCCGGCGCGTCCGCTGCCGCCCCGGCCGCCACCGCCGTGGAGGGGGCCACCACAACGACGACCACCAGCGGCCCCAGTGCTGGGAGCCACGCGAAAAGCAACGCGGACAGCAGTGACACCCTCACCACAGCGTGGGTGCGTGCACCTCTCATGCTGCTACTCACGGCTGCCCTTGCCTGTGCTGCTGGGTAAGTGGTGAGGGGCAACCGCACACGCACCCACCATGACAGGGACGACGCGTACGCCTTTTGCGCTTATTTTGATTGTCGTCCCTGTGTGACAATCCTTCTTTCTCTCTCTTCTGTGCTCTGAGGGATGTTTTATTTTTCTTTCTCTCGTTCTTTTTCTTGCTTCGCCACTCCATGCACATTCCCACGGGCGGCGCACCCTTTTCCCCCTCCTGTTTGCTGCTGC